CAGATTTTACAGAAAAGAACCACCAGACAGGCACTAAAATGGGAAATAAAAGAGACAGAGGATGCCAGGACACCTAAAAGAAACCCTAACACAAATGTTGAAAAGAGAGGCCAAAGATGCTGGACTGAATTCCATTCATATTAAATTGATTACACAGGAAATAATGGAATGGGGGAATAAACCGAGCCATTTTTGACATGTAATGGTACAGGAGGACAGTAATGATGATGGTGTTTATATAACTTATAAGCACCACCGTAAGGCACTGGCTATGCCTTACACTTGCCTGCTAGCCCGAAGACCTAGGGTTCAATTAAGGCTCTCAGGTCGACCCTGCCTAAAATGGATATCAAGAAAAGATATAAAAACCAAACAAAAAGTAAATAAGAGAGCTTCACAGTATAACAGATACAAACCTCCACATATCTCTGTGTATTGACTTGTGACCCCCCCCCCCCCCCACCATCCACACACACACACCTCATTGCTCTTACACACACACACATTTCTATTTATTGACTGGTATTGACAGGTCACAGTTTCCCACACCCACATTGTCTTAACTGATGACAGTTTGAGTACCGACATTGTATTAACTGATGACAGTTTGAGTACCGACATTGTATTAACTGATGACAGTTTGAGTACCGAGATTGTCTTAACTGATGACAGTTTGAGTACCGGCATTGTATTAACTGATGACAGTTCCCCATACCATCATTGTATTAACTGATAACAGTTCCCCATACCATCATTGTATTAACTGATAACAGTTCCCCATACCATCATTGTATTAACTGATAACAGTTCCCCATACCATCATTGTATTAACTGATGACAGTTCCCCATACCATCATTGTATTAACTGATAACAGTTCCCCATACCATCATTGTATTAACTGATGACAGTTCCCCATACCATCATTGTATCAACTGATAACAGTTCCCCATACCATCATTGTATTAACTGATGACAGTTCCCCATACCATCATTGTATTAACTGATGACAGTTCCCCATACCATCATTGTATCAACTGATAACAGTTCCCCATACCATCATTGTATTAACTGATGACAGTTCCCCATACCATCATTGTATTAACTGATGACAGTTCCCCATACCATCATTGTATTACTGATGACAGTTCCCGATACCATCTTTGTATTAACTGATGACAGTACCTGTATTGTATTGACCTATGACAGTTTTAGTACCTGTATTGTATTGACTGATGACAGTTTCAGTACCTGTATTGTATTGACTGATGACAGTTTCAGTACCTGTATTGTATTGACTGATGACAGTTTGAGTACCTGTATTGTATTGACTGATGACAGTTTGAGTACCTGTATTGTATTGACTGATGACAGTTTCAGTACCTGTATTGTATTGACTGATGACAGTTTCAGTACATGTATTGTATTGACTGATGACAGTTTCAGAACCTGTATTGTATTGACTGATGACAGTTTGAGTACCTGTATCGTATTGACTGATGACAGTTTGAGTACTGGTGTTGTATTGACTGTTGACAGTTTGAGTACCTGTATCATATTGACTGATGACAGTTTGAGTACCTGTATTGTATTGACTGATGACAGTTTGAGTACCTGTATTGTATTGACTGATGACAGTTTCAGTACCTGTATTGTATTGAATGATGACAGTTTGAGTACCTGTATTGTATTGATTGATGACAGTTTGAGTACCTGTATTGTATTGACTGATGACAGTTTGAGTACCTGTATTGTATTGACTGATGACAGTTTTAGTACCTGTATTGTATTAACTGATGACAGTTTGAGTACCAGTATTGTATTGATTAATGACAGTTTGAGTACCTGTATTGTATTGATTGATGACAGTTTGAGTACCTGTATTGTATTGTATTGTATTGACTGATGACAGTTTTAGTACCTGTATTGTATTGACTGATGACAGTTTGAGTACCTGTATTGTATTGATTGATGACAGTTTGAGTACCAGTATTGTATTGATTGATGACAGTTTGAGTACCTGTATTGTATTGATTGTTGACAGTTTGAGTACCAGTATTGTATTGATTGATGACAGTTTGAGTACCTGTATTGTATTGATTGATGACAGTTTGAGTACCTGTATTGTATTGATTGATGACAGTTTGAGTACCTGTATTATATTGATTGATGAAAGTGTGAGTACCTGTATTGTATTGATTGATGACAGTTTGAGTACCTGTATTGAATTGATTGATGACAGTTTGAGTACCAGTATTGTATTGACTGATGACAGTTTGAATACCAGTATTGTATTGATTGATGACAGTTTGAGTACCAGTATTGTATTGACTGATGACAGTTTGAATACCAGTATTGTATTGACTGATGACAGTTTGAGTACCTGTTTTGTATTGACTGATGACAGTTTCCACATTTTTCTATGTTTTGAGTATGAAGCTGATGTATAATTACATATAAATAGTACATTGAAAAAAGTAATGCAAAATCTTATATGCATTTAAAGCATCGAATGTTTTAACATTTGTCTTCTTCTACCTTCTAACCCCTTTTAATGGAGCATAGGCCCCCCAAACAACTCATGCTAAGTCATTCTATCTTTCACTATCACTTGCAGCTTTCCTCATGTCCTCCCCATCTTTTTAACTTTACTCTCTAGCTTATCCGTGCGTTTTTTGTTCTTCCTTTATTTCTATGCCCAGTGTAAAGACATTCTAGTTATATTGTTCTCATGTTTTCTCAGAGTATGTCCAATCTAACACCGGCATCTTTTGTTCACCTCTTGGTCCACTGGAAATTGTTATGTTCTCCCCCAAAGCTCTACATTAGTAATTCTATCATACCTTCTGTTTCTCTCTGTTTTGCAAAGTTAATGATTGTTATTTTTGTAACTGTTAATGATTCTTTGTTTTTTTTTTCAGATTACTTTTATGGGTCTTTATTTGTTTTCTATAACTTACAGAATTAGATAAGACAGACACTGAGAAAAACTGGATAGTAGTGTAACTAGAATGCCCTTCATCAGCTGCAAAAATAATTAATGCAGACTAAAACTACATCATCATTGTCCTGTTGTAGCATTATATGTCACACAGAACTCACAGCCTGTTCTCCATTCTGTTCCATCCTGTGCAGTATGTTCAATATTGTGGACATAATCCAGTTCAACAGCCTAGGCCTCTGTTATCACTGTTCATTTAAGGGTTTCTCTTAGGCGTCCTCATCTCCTCAATCCCTTTATTTCCCATTTGAGAGCCTCTGTGGTGATTTTCTGCTGGTTTTTTAGCAGGATCAGTTCCAGTGTGGCACCAGCTTCTTTGTCTTATCATTGTTGTTACCAGTGGTTGCCCAGACATGTCTCTTATTTCTTCACCCCTCATGAATTCATCCTATTTCATGTTCAAAATTTTCCTCGGGCATAAAGAAATAAAAATAAAATAAATAAAAAAAGACCCCACATCAAGAGTAGAAATAGAAAATGAGGTGAAAAGGACGGGGAGGAGATGTGAGCTGCACATGATGAAAAAAGGATAGCTTAAGAAGAAGGAGAAATGGAAGATGAAGAAGAATAAAAAGAAGAACGATGTAAATGTTGCTCACTGTTACTATTAGCATTTCAGTTGAGTCTCTCATTTCTTCCCTGCCAGGATAATTATTTGAGTTATTGCCCTTTCTTCACGAGCAGCCATTTGACTGACAGAAAGTTCTGGCTGTTGAAGATTTGATGCTCGTGTATGTAGCTATGTAAAAGTTGTGAGGGTAGGAAAGTAGTATGGACGGACACAGTTTACTAAAAGATATGAACAAAGAAATCTGTTAGCAAGCAGGAGAGTAAAAATGCAAATTCTTAATTAGTAACTGCAAAGGAAAGCCATGGTTGTCAGTTAGCAGTCAGTAGAAAATTAAGTCCTTGTTCCAATTTTGGACGCAGTTGTTTGCTGTTTCAAAGTCCCACCCTTGCTGTTGCCAGGGGCTCTAACAAAACCGCACATGTGGGTTGAAGTGGGTTTCTGGGACCTGTTTCTGGGTGATCTTCATCCGAATGGTGTCACTTTGTGTCACCAGATGTTTATCCCTTGGTTTGACGTCCTGATGGGGTTGAGCATCAGTCAGTCACTTATTCCACCCCAATATAGGATGCATGTTTTAAAAGCAAGAGGTTGTGGGTCACTTTGCCTCTATAAAATAGAGCCTCTATAAAATAAAGTCACGACTCACACACACACAAAAAACGGAACAACAACAAAAAGCTCGGAACCGCTATATTAATGTATGAAAGAATCAAAGAATGGGCAAGAGTAGGTCATGCCGACCAGTCACATTGTTTATAAAAAAAATGTGTATTACTTGTGAGGATCCCTTAAGTTAGTTGCGTATCCTTTACGTAAACAACCCCAGCATTCTTTGGCTGTTGCAGTGTTTCTAGGCAAGTTTATGTTCTGTAGTTTTCCATTGCTTCCTGAACGGTTGGCTTCAGAGGCGGGTTGTTTCCATATCGCCTGCAGTTGGGATTGAACCCGGCACTCTGGCATTACGGAGCGTGTTTGCAGCGCCTAAACTAGGTATCAACTAACTAGAATAACATATGGCCACTTATGGGGAAAATATTTGTAAGTGAGAATAGGAATAAAGGAAGGCCAAAAAACACATGGAGAAGGTAGCTGGAGAATAAAGTTAGAAAGATGGGGAGGACATGGGGAGAACTGCATGCGATAGCAAAGGATAGAAGGACTTTGTGTGAGTTGGTTAAAGGTCTTTGCTCCATTGGGAGCTAGAAAGGCAGAAGAAGAAGGAGAAGAGGATGCTTACAGTTCTGAAAACAGGTCGGCTCAAAAGAAACAACTCAACAGAATCAGGGTATATAAGAGAAGAGTCAAAGAAGTGAATGAATGAATAAACTTTAGTTTCCAGAGATCACAAATTAGGCATGTTCTAATTTTGATGTTTCAATTTTTGATTTTTATGTTTTCTTCTCCTTTCCTTTTGTTTACAGAGGACAGCCATGTCAGGTGCTAGGTTCACAGTGACCAAGACAGGGGGTGAGGATCAACCAATCACAGATGCAACCGGAGGGTATGGCTCAGTGCCGCCATCAGGCATCCAGTTTGCACCACACTCAGGTCAGTGTTTCTGCTTCCAGTTGTGCTTGAAATCTTTCACATGCATTGATGCTATCAGAATTCCTTGAATTTCCATTTGTGTTCAGAATATAGTACAGTCATTGATGCCATCATAATTCCTTAAAATTCTGGTTCAGAATATGGTACAGTCATTGATGCCATCAAAATTCCATTAACTTCCTGTTTATAATATAGTTAAGTCATTGATGCCATCATAATTCCCTTAACTTCCTGTTTAGAATATAGTACATTTATTGATGCCATCATAATTCCCTTAACTTCCTGTTTAGAATATAGTACATTTATTGATGCCATCATAATTCCCTTAACTTCCTGTTTAGAATATAGTACAGTCATTGATGCCATCATAATTCCCTTAACTTCCTGTTTAGAATATAGTACAGTCACTGATGCCATCATAATTCCCTTAACTTCCTGTTTAGAATATAGTACATTTATTGATGCCATCATAATTCCCTTAACTTTCTGTTTAGAATATAGTACAGTCATTGATGCCATCATAATTCCCTTACCTTCCTGTTTAGAATATAGTACAGTCATTGATGCTATCATAATTCCCTTAACTTCCTGTTTAGAATATAGCACAGTCATTGATGCCATCATAATTCCCTTAACTTTCTGTTTAGAATATAGCACAGTCATTGATGCTATCATCCTGTGTGGATTGTCAGTGTAAGTTATTCCTGAGCAGAAATATTGGTATCAAATAATAATGTCAGTTACAACTGCTCTTAATATTCACAAACATGCAACATAACACAGCTACATTCTGGGAACGGAGGAAGACAACTTGAGAGGATGCATGACAGCCTTTTGTCACTGGGAGGGAGGGGTGTCAGCACGGGAACTAATACATGCTGTTGACGATCACAGTTGAGTTAAGTCAAGAATTGACATCACAGCACTTAGGGCATTCTCATGGATGCTCGGTCCTCATCTTCAGCAGCCAGCACAGAGTTCCAATACTGACATACCGGTCACAATTTGGTTATATGTCCGTCTTGCATTTCCTCTGAGTGTAGTGAGCCGGCCAGACCCTCTGGTTACACCCAGGTGCCTCATTTCCACCAGGCCATGATAATCTTGTTTCTCTACTGATTCTGTTGCTTGTTCCCAAAGAGCCTTGACCTCATCTGCCTTGTCATGTATCAATTCACCACCCAGTGGTTTGAAGATCACCGATTGTGAAGAAGCGTGATCGCCCACATGATTTGATAAGGCACTGGATGAGTAAGGACAAGACTACCAGTGTTTAGTATGTATAGTTGATCTAATATCTGTAGTACACACATCACAGATATTAGAATGTCTCAAGTTGGCAGTATAGTCATGTTATACATTGCATGCTACATCACAGGTGCTTACATTTCTAAGGTAGGCTGTATGTTCTACAGTATGTATAAATCACAGGTGTTTATATTACTGAGGTAAACAGTAAGTTGTATGTTTTGTAACACATAAATCACAGATGTTCACATTTATAAGTTAGACAGTAGGCTATATGTTCTTTAGTACATTCTTCACAGGTGTTCACATTTCTAAAGTAGGCAGTAATGTATTAATTTGACAGTGCACATGTCACTCACAGATGTTCACTTATCTCAGGTAGACAGTGAGTTTTATGTTAAACGTACATCACAGTAATTTACATTTTAAATCTCAGATGGCTCCATTTCTAAGGTAGACAACAGGCTATATGTTCTATAGTATATATATATCACAGATGTTTATATTACTGAGGTAAACAGTAGGTTGTATGTTGTGTAGTACATAAATCAAGCTGTTCACATTTCTAAAGTAGGCAGTAAGATATTTTTTTTTACAGTGCATATGTCACTCCAGAAGTTTGATGTTCTCAGGTAGATAGTAGGCTGTATGTTTCTTAGTACATACATCACAGTTGTTCACATTTTACGTCACAGATGCTCTCATGACTAAGGTAGATGGTAGGCCACATGTACTCACTTTACAGATGCTCTGTTTTGTTCTTGAGTAGGCAGGGATCTGTCGTGTTACAGTGAATGACTAGAACATTTCTGAGTTACAGATATACAGAACATGTCAATTTGGGATCAGATCTCTGCGTTTCAGTTTTAGCAGGACCAGTTTCAGAGCAGTTATTGTCTTCGTCTAATATATATATACTACTGTCTCATGTCATATTGTTCCTTTTGTACCCTGCAGTGTCCAAGTTGGTTGCTTCATATGTAGGAGCTCCTTGGGACTTTACACCTGTCTCTGTCATTTAATATGTATTTATCTGACCATGGTTTAATAGTGAGTAGGCTGTCTTTTGGTGTCCAGTTGCCTGGAACTGTTATTGCATCTATCTGTCATTTAATACGTGAGCAGTCTGTCTTTTGGTGTCCAGTTCCCTGGAACTCTGTTATTGCATCTATCTGTCATGTAATACTTGGGCAGCCTGTCTTTTGGTGTCCAGTTGCCTGGAACTTTGTTATTGCATGTATCTGTCATTTAATACGTGAGCAGCCTGTCTTTTGGTGTTGTTCCCTGGAACTTTGTTATTGCATCTGTCTGTCATTTAATACATGGGCAGCATGTTTTTTGGTGTTCATTTCTCTGGAACTCTGTTATTGCATCTATCTGTGATCTAAAAACGTGGGCAACCTGTCTTTTGGTGTCCAGTTCCCTAGAACTTTGTTATTGCATCTATCTGTCATTTAATATGTGGGCAGCCTGTCTTTTGGTGTCTAGTTCCCTGGAAGTTTGTTATTGCATCTATCTGTCATTTAATATGTGGGCAGCCTGTCTTTAAGTGTCTACTTCCCTGGAAGTTTGTTATTGCATCTATCTGTCATTTAATACATGGGCAGCCTGTCTTTTGGTGTCCAGTTCCCTAGAACTTTGTTATTGCATCTATCTGTCATTTAATACATGGGCAGCCTGTCTTTTGGTGTCTAGTTCCCTGGAAGTTTGTTATTGCATCTATCTGTCATTTAAAATGTGGGCAGCCTGTCTTTAGGTGTCTAGTTCCCTGGAAGTTTGTTATTGCATCTATCTGTCATTTAATATGTGGGCAGCCTGTCTTTAAGTGTCTAGTTCCCTGGAAGTTTGTTATTGCATCTATCTGTCATTTAATATGTGTGCAGCCTGTCTTTTGGTGTCCAGTTGCCTGGAAGTTTGTTATTGCATCTATCTGTCATTTAATACATGGGCAGCCTGTCTTTTGGTGTTGTTCCCTGGAACTTTGTTATTGCATCTATCTGTCATTTAATATGTGTGCAGCCTGTCTTTTGGTGTTGTTTCCTGGAACTTTGTTATTGCATCTATCTGTCATTTAATATGTGTGCAGCCTGTCTTTTGGTGTTGTTCTCTGGAACTCTGTGTTATTGCATCTATCTGTCATTTAATATGTGTGCAGCCTGTCTTTTGGTGTTGTTCCCTGGAACTCTGTGTTATTGCATCTATCTGTCATTTAATACTTCTGGTATCCAGTTCCCTGGAACTCTGTGTTATTGCATCTATCTGTCATTTAATATGTGTGCAGCCTGTCTTTTTGGTATCCATGTGCCTGGAACTCTGTTATCGCATCTCTGTCATTTCAAACGTGGACAACCTTTCATTTGATGGCCAGTTGCCTGGAACTCTGTTATTGCATCTATCTGTCATGTAATACTGGGGCAGCCTGTCTTTTGGTGTTGTTCCCTGGAACTTTGTTATTGCATCTATCTGTCATTTAATACTTCTGGTATCCAGTTGCCTGGAACTCTGTGTTATTGCATCTGTCATTTAATATGTGTGCAGCCTGTGTTTTTGGTATCCAGTTGCCTTGAACTCTGTTCTCACATCTCTGTCATTTGGTGGCCAGTTCCCTGGAACTCTGTTATTGCATCTATCTGTGGTTGGTAAGTTGTGTTGAGGTTTACAGCTAGGCTGCAGTATCCGCACTGTTTAGCCCAACACATCCAGTTTTAGCAAACCCCTAATTAGTTGTCTCTTATAACATGTCTGTTAGGGAAGCATTGGGTCTATACTTGTTTCCACCAAAACTGGGCCCTTAGAACCCACACAGGAAGTATGTGAAACAATGCGGACATGTTAACAACATTGCAGACATGTTTCAACATTGCAGACATGTTTCAACAATGCAGACATGTTTCAACAATGCAGACATGTTTCAACAATGTGAACATGTTACAGTCACTTCAGGATAACTCATTTCATTATCCTAGGGAGAGGTTGGGTTACCACTCACACAAACATACACTTTGTGAATAATTTTGTTTTGTTTTTGGTACCACATTCTGTTCTATTATACCATAATTTATAATGTTTTACCACATTCTGTTCTGTTATTCTTTTCTGTTATGTTATATCACATTCTGATAAGTTACAAAACATTGTGTTGTCACCTGTGACCTTAGTGTGCCATACCTCATTTATACTGCCTATTTTACAGTATTGATTATTGTGTTTTACTTTATTTATAGTTGTTGGTTTCAAACAAAGTTGATAGGAAATCTATGCTTGTGACGTGTTTCTCATCTTTGTTTTTCTTTGTTGTTGCTTAATTAATTAGGGTCAGGTAGGAAGGTTAACCGGTGCTTGCTCAGAATAGAGGGAGTGTTATTAGCATGACCAGTATCACTGACGTGAAGCATTGGGATAGAAATAAACACATTCCAGTGAATGAAGAGGTGAGAAAAAGATGAAGCCGCTGGATAGGATACATATATAGAAAACCTGAAATGTAACTAAAATGTCCTTGCAGTGGAACCCACAGACTCAAAGAAATAAAAGAAACAATATTAGCTACCATAATAAACTATGAAAACAAAGAAATCGACCAAGTTCAATCTACTGTGAGCAGTTTTGGCTATAATTGTGGTATTGTTACTCTGTGCCAAATATGTTGGCTAAGAAGCATTCGTTGCACAAAAATGAGTGGCTTGGACCAGTACTCTAGTACTTGGTGAGGGTTGCTGGGGGAGAGGGGGGGGGGGGGGGTTTGTTGACTT